CAAAATAGCTCCACTCATAAACTAATGATTAGAACTAGTAACTTTGTCTACTCAGAAATGCCGAATGCCCCAAACAGGAATAAACTCCTACGGTTATCATCTCTGGAGTCCAGACGGAATGTTTTCGATCTTTGTCTATTCACAAGCTTATTACAAGATCGCGTGGGTCCAATGGACTCAGTTGTCCATCGACCTACCGTACTTATCCTCAGTTCGCTTTCTACACAAGCACATCTCCTGTAACGAAAAATCGACATGTATTATTTCCGGAGAAATCATGATGGGACAGTTGGAGCTTACTTTATGGCAACCGGCGCAGTAGGGGGGGGGGGAACCTCTCAGTTTCACAGCAGGCACGGAATATTTTGAGATGATTAGAACTGTACCTATACTAGAAATTCTTTTTGACTCAAAAACACACTTTTTTGTACTAGTTTTTGTGGCGGAGATGGTGCAGTAGCTAACGGTACGTTTACCAGGCGCGAAAAAAAAGCGAAAGCAGCTCCTCCACAAAACTGCTAAAGCACAGAATTACGCAAAACGTAAGCTATTGTGTAGTGGTACGGTGCGGCTAAACACGCCGCAGTTTCATGACGCCTTATCAAGCTGCTCACGCACGCAATCTACTCTCCTACTTCCCCATTCTCTATCAACAGTCTGCTACCCTCCTAATTCCCTAAACTCTCTACTCCTGAACGCTGTTGGTCGCATAGACGCTGGCGTTTGCTGGACCGTATCCATACTTTCCTAGTCCTTGGTGGACGCTGGTAGACGCTGCCATTCCTAGATCGATATCTATACTTTCCCAGTCGTCGACGACGGACGCTCGAAACGCTGGTGGTGGACGCTGTCGCAAAGTATGAACGCAGCCTCAATCAGCCACTACGGCCCTGAATGGTGGTTAAATGCGTGGCGTATCCCTAAGCGGATCGATCAATGGTGGAGACCTTATCCTTTCGAATTTTTCCAGGGTTTCGTTACCTCTCAATAATTTGCTGTTGTTCACAAGTTTTAAAGCATGTAATAAAAACCAATCTAAAGCCTACTTTGTTATGACTTTCAGATATCATTGGCACCGGTACTTCTAGCGACTGAGTAGGTCGATGGCCGTTTGGCACAACTTCATGATGACCTGATTTTCCAACATTCCGTGTAGCATTTCCTCCGTGACGGCATAGCACTTCTGAAATGAAGCTCCCAAACTTGTCCCAAAATTATCATCAGCACGGCGCTGTTCGACATGGGAGGGGCATTTCGCTCTACTGCTGGTCACTTTTGCTAGTTCACGCTAACTGACAGGTCTCATTTTAGTGAAAACTGTAAACTTTTATCAAGCTGCGAAATGGCACAAGTGAACTAACTTGGTATGAGAATTCACAGCTCTTCACAAGGTGATCAGGCTGCACTGAGTACCATTTGGTGCCCCCCCATGCCGAAATGTGCCCGTTAGTAGTAATACGCTTCATTTTTGGTTGAAGTAATAATATGATAATTCTCACCATCGCTCCGCTTTTAGGTATTTTTTTAACCGGGAACTTTACGACCTCCTTCGACGTTGAGGGTGTTGAGAGCGAAGTTGTTGCTCCAGAATTCTGTTCACTTCCGTTTCCTGACGGCTGCAATCTTGTT